AAACAATTAAAATCAAAATGAAGTTTTTTCTTAAATAATTTTTCCTGTAATGCAGAAGAATAAACTACATTTTTTTGTTTTTATTTGGAGCAAGTATAAATAAATTCCTTCAATTTCCAACTCTTGAACAAGCAACATATAACTGACCATGAGAAAAGCAGTGTTGCATGAAGTGAAGTCCAGTAACTTTCATTGATTGACCTTGTGATTTATTAATAGTCATTACAAAACTTACTCTGACTGGGAATTGCAATCATTTAAAATCAAAAGGAATATCTATTGAATCAATGAAATTCTTGGAATCAGTACAGTCTCTCCTTCCCTTGACCAGTTATAATAAGAGATTCCAATAAGTGAGGTAACATTTTCTTCACCATATGATGTGTATCATTGCATAATTTTGAAGGATCAAATTTTTTAGCTGCATTAATGGTACTCCTTGTTTTAATACCAACTTATGTAATTGCATTCCTAGAAGATCCAAAGAATTCAAAAAATTCAATAGGGAAGTTAACTGCTTCATCTGGATCTACAGTCGTATCATTGGATAGGTATGTCTTTTCTTCTGTTGAGATATCTTGTAGAGTCTTCTGATTGATGATCTGTGCTGTTTTATTTCTGGGAGCCAAAATTGCTCTCTTGCATCCATAATCTGTATTCTGGAAGTTATCTGCTATATTGGGGTATACTTTAAAAATTAATTCCTCAATGCTCTCGATCAGAGTGCCAAAACTTCAGGAAAGCTGATTTGCCCATCTTGATCATGTGAAATTTCTCCATTTCCCATTTTTCAAAGGAAGTCACTAAATTCCTTTGCTGTCCCATCTCCATTGAGTTCCACTCTAATATTAGTGGTCAAGTGGCGTCTTTCAATATGATCCCACAGATAAGAACTTTTCAGGCAGGCATGAAGTTCATCTGCAGCTGTTTCTCATTTGACAACAGAGAGTGTTTGTCTGAAATCTCCACATAGCAGAATTAAATACTCCTCCCATCATTATGTCTGATATCTTTCAGTGTTCTGTGTAAAGCCTCAAATGCAACCTTGTTTTGAGCCATTTTGCACTCATCCCAGACTATGAAGCAGCTTGGCTAGGTTTGTACCTATATTTTTATGTTGCACACTGGATTGTCATTATAGACCAAGTCTAATGGCAGTTTAAATGTCAAATGAGCAGTTCTTCCACCAGCAAGCAAAGTAGCTGCTATTTCAGGTGATGCTACAGCTAAAGCCACTGTTCTTTTGACATCCTAACTGAAAATAAAAGAAGATTAGTTAGGAATTTTTTGCCAGTACCTCCAGGAGCATCAAAAAGAAAATTTCCTCTCATGAATTGTTGATCTCATTGTAGATGACTCTCTGGTCATTTGTAAGAAGAAGTGTGTTAGTCTTTATTTGATGGATCAGCTCTTCATGGTTGTATCTAGTCTCTCTCATGATTTCTCTGTTTAAAGAATCAGAATCTCTGGTTTGGAAAGTTCGAAATGGGTCAGTTCTTTTTATGTCACATTTAGCATCATATCTTCTATTTCACACATTGCAATGTTCACAATCCTTGGGTTAATTTGTATAGCTAGTCCTGGATGAACCAGTTGCATATGATGAAGAATGTTTTCACTCATAGCTTCTTGGTGTTTCACCCACAGATCCATTGGATTTGAAATTTGACAGGTAGCAATCATAACAGCAAAGAGATCTCTTATTTGCTTTGGCGATTGATATGTTGAATTTGTTTGGTCCCAATATTCATCACTTCCCGTAAGGCCATGTTGAATGAATGCCTGTCTGTATGTCTGAAGAATATTTCCATTGATTGTTTTCAAATTTTGAAATGATCTTGGACCCCTGATATTATAAAGAAAAAATCAAAGAAAGAAGCATTCAGAATACAAAATTTATATATAAAGTAAAAATAAATATTTTTAAATTTCATTTAAAAATGTCGAAAAATTTTAATATGTCCAAAATTATGAGTATCTTTTTAAAAAGTAAACATTAATTTGATATCATAAAATATTGCAGTAATTATTTAAAAACCTTTGAATATTTTATTTTAGTTAAATTTACTATTGAAAAACCTTTGTCAAAAAGTAAATAAGTAAATGCATGTTCTCTTTTTACAGCAGAGATTTGTGAAAACTTTGGCAGACTTTTAATATTTTAAAGCCAAAGTTGTCATTTGAATTATTACAGCTCTTTCAAAGTATTTAACTGGTCATTGTGAATGGATTTCTAATTAAAATTAAAAGAAGAGGACAATCATTTAATAGAAGATATTTTAAGCAGTGTATGCAAATTAGTCATTAGCTTATTCGTGTTTTTGTGTTAAGACTTATTAAAAATAAATAAATTAAAAAGGAAGCATTTTTATATTTTCTTTCGGTGTCGAGGGATACATTTGTGTATGAAATTTTTTTTTTTTTTTTTACCTGTTCTACTTACTCAGAAAAGTCTATTTTGGTAGAATGTAGTTTGTCGAATTTCCACACTAGCTTTTGTTTAAAAAAAAAAAAAAAAGCAGCTAATTATGGATGCTAGATATATAAATTGATAAATGTTTACCTTAGAAAAATAACCTGGTAATTTTTCTAGGAAAAATTAGGTGTTTTTCTATGGGATTAATGTTCACTATTTATGAAATGTTGAAGGTGTTGTGGACATTTTAATATATTTGTTCAAAGAATATGACTGTTAATTGATCGGGTGTAGGGGAGGGTTGTTATAATTAAGGAAAGTTTTTACAAATAGATGCCAACTTGTTGAATGCCAAGTAAAATGCAAATTTCAAATACTTTTCTGCACTATATAAGGCAATATTCCTAAACAGGACTATTTTTTATATAAAAATCAAAATGTCCAAATAAAAAAACAGTAATGAAAGACAATGAAATATACTTCTTTTTTTTTTTTTTAAATTAATATGCAAATTAGTTAAACCTGAAAAGTGATATCACCTAGAAGTAGATAATATATAACACAGATATTGAGCTTTTAGTGTGTAGAATTGGGATCAGAATTCATGGGAGAATTGAGCTCCAGTTTCACATTTATTTTATATATAACTCTGCAGACAATTTATATGAAATGGGGAAAAAAAATGACTATTGTTGGTTCATGATGGAAATAAATAACATAAACTCTTACTTAAAGTTAGATCTTAAAACTTTTTTTAATGTCAACAATCACCTCCTATAATTACTGTTAAATTTTCAAATTTTATTAAGGAACTATACATTGCTGTGCAAAAGTAAGTGAACCCCTAAGATAATATTTAAAATAATTGGCTCTTTTTTTCTAAATGGTCAGCAAATCTTAAACTATATATTCATTAAGAAAAACCTTTATTAAATGAATTACAACCACTTTCAAAGATTTTTATGAAGGTGAAAAAAAATATTAATTAAAAATTAAGATGTGCAAAAGTAAGTGAACCCTTACATTTACATTCTGTAATTTTGTTTTACATGGTTGCCAGTCAAATAATTTTTTGTGCACATGTAAAAATCAAAATGACACATGTTCATTTTTTAGTTAAGCTGTGTATACTGCAGTCAAATAATAACATATTGTGTATGCAAAAGTTTGCAGTTAGAGATTAAATCTAAAAAATATATGCAAAGATCAAAAGAACTTTCTGAAGCTTTAAAAAAAATCACATAGTTGAAACTTATAATGACAAGGAAGGCTACAAAAAGCTATCAAAACAATTTGGAGTGCACTTCTCCACCATGCAACAAATTATTTATAAATGGAAGGCCTTTGGTATGATGACATAATAATCAAGGAGTGGCCACCTACAAAAAAATAACAGGAAGAGCAACTAATTTGGCAAGCCCAGGCAAATCTTGCTTTGACCTTTGTGGTTCTCCAATGCTCACAGGCTAATGGAATCAATGTGCAAACATCTAAAGTGTGATGAAATCTGAACAATACCAATCTTCATGGCAGAATGCCTAGAAAAGGCCACTGTTTACAAAATGGCACAAGCATGCTTGCCTCAATTATGCCAAAGCTCATAGAAACATTCTGACAAAAAGTTTTATGGTCAGGTGAGACCAAACTAGATCTTTTTGGGAAGAACAATAAGTGGTATATCTGGTGAGCTCCTAATACGGCTTTTAATGAAAAGAATTTGATACTAGCCATTAAACATGGCAGTGATAGCACTATGATTTGGAGGTGCTTTGCTGCAGCTGGAACAAGCAAAATAGTCTACATTGATGGCACAACGAACTCTGCAAGATACCAAGCAATTTTGAACAAAAGTGCCTTGTCCTCAGTTCAAAAGTTGGGTTTAGGTGAGGACTGAAACTTCCAACAAGATAATGAGCATCAAAACAAATCTACTAAAGAACTGGTTCATAAAAAGAAATTTCAAGTCTTGGAATGGCCTAGTCAAACTGCTTATCTAAGCTCAATTGAAAATCTGTGATTCAAGTAAAAGAGGGCAGTGCATGCAAGAAACTCTGGTAATATCAAGCAATTGTGGGAGTTTTGCCAAAAAGAATGGTCAAAAATCAAGACTCATTACTAACAGAAACTTCTTAAAATTATAGAAAAAGACTGGTTGACATTGTAACTTCAAAAAGAGCAGTCACCAAATATTAAATGTAAGGGTTCACTTACTTTTTCATATATTAATTTTTAACTAATATTTTTATTCCATCTTCATAAAAAAGAATTTATTTAGTAAATGTTTTTTCTTAACAAATATACAGTTTAATTAAGATTTGTTGATCATCCAGAAAAAGAGAATTTTTAAAAAATATTATCTTAGGGTTCACTTACTTTTGCACAGCACTGTATATTCAAATATTGGATTTTGTTTACTTTCAGTATCATGTGACTTGTATAAATTAAAATTTTTATAAGAAGTAGTTAGTTTCTTAAAACTTAAAGTTTACTGTTTTTTATTGTATTTTAATATGTAACTTATATAAATTTTAAATTTACATACATGTGCATTTTTTAAACATTTATATTGATTTATTTTATTTAGGAATACACTGCTAGCCATCTTTTCCCCTGGGCAAGCACAGATAACTTGATCTTCATTGCTGAACAAGTATCACACCATCCACCAAGTAAGTAAAAGAAAGAAATCCCGAAACTATTCAACAGTTACAATATTACTCCATCTTAGTGATAACATTCATTTTGTGTGTGTGTGTGTGTGTGTGTGTAAGAGCTTTATGGAGGTTTATACTCAACATTGTTTCATTTCTGTATGTGATAACCAAGAACAAATACTAATTACTCACTTTTAATAAGTCGAAGAACATATTCTATAATTGTCTTAAAGTAACTCATATACATAGGAAGTCACAAAGACTATAAATAGCTACATGATGCAGTTGAGTGCATACTTCTACCTGTGAGTCAGTAACACTACACTACACCAATATCTAAAGAATCAAGTGAACAATTATGACTGGATAATTATGAGTACACACATGCATAGCTTAAGATGCTATCAGCTAAAGCTAAAGCCAAAAAGCTGAGGGATTTAAAATCAGTTGGGGGAGAAAACCAGATAACGGATCTCCTCTTGGCAACTGCTGGGTGTGAGGCCATTATAAAATTATCAGCTATTGTACACCCAAGACAGTTGGAGGAAATTATGTTTGATGATATAAGTCAACTAATAGTAAAAAAATTAGCACCCCAAAAAAGCTATTGAATGCAGAGAGAGAGTTAATACATTTCTCAAAAAGTGAATGAACCAGTTATTGAATATGTTCTTCGTTTGAAACGGGCCGTTAAATATTATGAATTTGAGAGACTGGGAGTGGAAAACTAATCAGTTGAGGAGGGCGATCCAAATGAAATTATTGAATGGCATTCAAAATAAGGAATATCAGCAAATGACTCTAATGCACTTACAATTGGGGAAAGTTGTCACTAGAACAGTGTGTTGAATTTGTTCAGCAACATTAATTAATTGGAAAATTTAATAGAACAAAATGTTATGGATATGGTAAGAGAAATGGAGACATGTGATAAAGAAAATAAGGTGAACCTTTTATGGATATCAATATCAAAGAGGAAAACAAAAATGTCTGGCATATAAAATAAATGTCGAAAGAGTTTCAAAAGGAATCATTTTAAATATATGTGTAAATCCAAAAAGAAAAATGTAGAGACAGTCTGACAAAATGAAGAGGAAATAAGTATGGACATTGTTTATTGAAAAAAAAGAAAAATGAAAAAGAGTTATTAAAAACTTGAATCAATAATGTTTTATTGAACATGCAATTAGATATGGGAAGTTACGTGACATTGATACCCAGAAATTTCTAGAAGAAATTAGGAAAACCAAAATTAAAGAAAAACTATATCCACTTGAATCAGTTTGATAGATCCATGATAAAAACGTTAGGCTATTTTGAAGCCTATGTTGAATTCAAAAAATAAATTTGAACTAATACCAATTATCATGGCAAACTGTGGAAAGAATCATGATCTAATAGGAAATGGTGTGTTGAACATAAATATGACAAAATTAGAAAACACAGTCAAGGCAGAAGTAACTGGGATGTAAAAAAAAAAACTATGAAGCAAAGTTAAGACTAAAAGAAAAAGTAATTTTAAGAAAGAAGTATGGGGGATCTGCATATTCATGGTGACTACAAAATATGTGTAAATCACAAAATATATGCAAACTCATATCCTATCCCCAATGTAGTCTGGGCTTAGAACTCCCTTGCACATATGAAAACATTCACTAAAATTGATCTAAAGTCAGCACAACATCAAATACCTATTGATGAAGACTTTAAAAAGTCACAACAATAAACATGCCAATAAGCTTATTAACATGGAAAAGAATGAAATATGGAATTAAAACTGCTAGTGTGAGCTTTGAAAGGGCTATAGAGTAAGTTATTGGTAGTGATACAAAAAATACAATATGCTACCAGGGTAACATTTATGTTAGTACTATTAATGACAAAGAATTGGTATAGTTTTGAATAAGTTAAAAATTGCTGAATTAACAACAAAAAAAATGTGTGCACAACACTAAAAAAATATTTTTTGGATATTTCGTATCCAATGAAGGCATATGAGCAGACCAATTGTTAATTGACAAAATAGTAATAGTTCAAGTATCTAAGAATAAAAAAGAAATGGAATCTTTCTTAGGATTTGTAGATTTCTACAGATGATATGTAGAGCAATACTCTGAATTAACAGAACCTTTTGCTGCTTTAAGAAAAAAAAAAGTGTAATTTATCTGGACAAAAGAACAAGTGACATTTGAAAATTTAAAAGGTGTTCTGGCAAAGAAGCTAGCAGTGAAAATATTCGACCTTAGAAATTAAATAGTAGTAACAATTGATGCAAGTGAACACTAATTTCAAGAAAATTTTCGAAAGCTGAATTAAACTATTTAAATATTGAGAATGAGGAGAAAAAATGTGAAGATATTTTCTTACACTGGGTCAAAACTGATATTTTGTTGATAGACAAATTAGCTGAGGATACAAAACAATCTCTTATATCTAGACAATCTCTTAGGGAGAGGGAGGAAGATAGCGAGGAGACAAAACCTCTCAGAAGTACTAGGGTAAATAAGGTGATAAAACCTCTTTGGTACATGAAGATGAGGTGATTCATTTACATAGGAAGTCACAAAGACTATAAATAGCTATGGCTATTATCCATGATGCAGTTGAGTGCATACTACTTCCCATGACTCAGTAACACTACACTATTCATCTTAATATTTCAATTTTCTTTCTGTAAAGTGTACACAATAAAAATGTCATTTTATTCTATAATTTTGGGTCAACAAAATGTAGAATAGAAATTTCCTAAGAATTTCTATTTATTCCAATAACATTACTTGAACTACTTTCTTAACTTTTTTTAACCACCTTGTATGAGCCAATACAGTCTGGCTTTCCTCAGATGTATTTGGTAATCTTAACACTGAACTTTAATTGTTCTAAGTGAAGTTAATAAATGTTAGTAAAACATGGAAAATGAAAGAGCTTTGAAGAAAATTACCAGATGCAGCAGACATTCATGACAGAGCCAACTTGCTAATGACACCAATCTAAATAATTCATTGAATAATAACAGCAATAATTTGTTTCAGAAATTCATAAAATTTCAACTTCAATATTTAAAGTTTTTTTTTCTATTTGTGATGGTATGTTAAAATGAGACAGATTTGGTACAAGATAGATTTGAGGAGCTCCCACAGACAATGGAATTTGTTCAAAATGCTTGTAAGACAAGCTTGATAGCCATCACTATGCTGCATGCACAAGAAAAAAAAAAGAAAATGGAAATTATGACTTCTGTTTTTAAAGCTATATTTTTTTCTTCCTTCAAGTTTCATATACAGTTATAACTAAGTATTGTTTTACAAAATTACAAAATCATTTTGGAGAAGATTTGATTTTAAATTCACACTTCATCAAAATATTGACTCATATTCTATGTAAGTATATTGTTTTTATATGTATTTTTAAAATGTTTATACCTAGTAATTATTGTTTCTGAGCTTATTTTTCCAAAATTTTAGATTTATTTTTAAAAGTTTTAAATTCTGGTCAAAATTATTCAAAAAATTAACCCAATACACAGTACAGGTATAAAGCATGTATGATATTCATCCAGTTCATTTCTCAGACCATGGATAAAGTAACTAACACACACTTTCAAATAGATTTAAGGAAAAATTTGAATTTTCTTCTAAATGTTTTTGTCTGTATTTATTTTTAATGTTTCATTTTGTTTTATTTTTTTCTGCTCTCAGTATCTGCCTTTTATGCTGAACATTATGATAAAAGAATAAGTTTGGATGGTTACATCTGGACTAAGTCCAAATTCTTGGGGTTGTCTATTGGTGTTCACATGATTGGCCAAGCTGTATTATCTGTCCTTAATTTTGACGAAGAATATATCTTTACATTTCCTAATGGTTATGGAAGGTAAGTTCATTTTTGATCACTTTGCAAGCAATCAAATACATTTTTGTTGATATTAAACATCTTTGGTTTCCTGTAGTAATATTGGCTAAATTACTTTCAGTTCTTTTGATAAAGAAATTCTTTTAAGTTTTAACACTATTCATGTGACTATTCATTAAAAATATTTATTCAGTCAGTCTATGATAAACAGCCCAATTACATGTGAATGATCAAATAGAAAAAAAACATTTCAGGCACAATCAAAGTTAGAAGCAAATAATAATTCTGAAATATTCTTTAAAATTATTATATAAAAGCATTTAGTGTGAACATAATTACAATATAATTAATTTAACAACTGAAACCAAAATTATCCCTGTCTTGGTATGATGATATGTTACATCCAGCAGCAAGGCCTCTGATTGGGAGGTTTTGAGGAGCCTAACCCAGAGTGGTAGCATCTATTAGGGTCCCAGCTATGGGCAAACAGTTAACCCTCAAACTGGGGTTAAAACTCTATGAAAGGATAAAAATAGATTTTTATAGTAAAAATACCAGCAATACATTTTGGAAAAAAGAAAAATTATCAGCAATACATTTGACTGAACAAATAAATCAAATCAAAATGTTCCCAAACAAAGCAATATTTATTTTATTTCGTAGTTTTGAATTTTCCAACTAAGGGCATCATTTCAATCCTATTGAGTGCCTACACCACCAACCCCCAAAAAGTATCTTAAAAACGTGTAAAACTTATTCAAGTGGTGTCTTATTGTGATTTCATTGGGTTGTATTTATGCAAAAGAAAAATATATTATTTTATATATTTTTCAAGGAAAATAAATTTCAGTCATGTAGTTGAATTGGAGCCTATTTTTAAAATAAATAGGGTATTGTATTCAAATCTTATTTCTATTGATTTTTTGACAGTAACATCTTTTTTAATCATCTGAAAAAAAATATTCAAATGCAAATATCTTTATTTCTCTATATTGAATGAAAGTATATGCCAGAATATTTTCCTATTCTTCTTTCTAATGTTATAAAGTATAAAATCTTTTATATGCAATTTAAGTGGAATTTTTTTTATTGGATGTCAATTTTACTAGGTACTTGTTAAATGGCTTAAAATATCCTGGTTTAAGACAATTTTTCTTAAATTGAACTTGTATTTACTGTTTTGTTCTCTCATCTTTCAGACAATTTCATTCTATTCTCTCAAAATGTTTTATCAAAGATCTACTCTATATGCCTTTTGTAGATTTCCAGGAAATTGAAATTTTTAAAAGAATTTTATAAAGACCAAAAGGAATGGTAATCTGAAGCTGCAGTATTTGGGTGAAAACTTTTCAGCCAAGCTGTAACAAATTTTATTTGGTCACCAAAAACCCTTGCAGTCTGTTATGGTGAAACACACCTATTCTATAGTTAATAGACTCTCCCACCTAATATAAGGAGGAGTAGTAAGAGAAACGAGGGTCAGTCGATGTCAGACGACAGTCGAATACGAAAGTAGTCAACAACCACAACCAAATTACTCTGTGTAATACCTATTATATCAAGTTCCTAACGATTTGTACGTCGAACTGATTTAGTACAAATACAATCCTCGACTGCGAAATATAATCCACAACAACTTTGGCGATGAGGATTCGCACTCATACAGAGGAAGAAAAAATTTGCTCGCCACAATAACTTCGGCGACAAAGTCTCTGATTCACACTTTAAAAAAAAAAAAAACTTGACAAAATTTTTCACAAACCAAGATGTCAACTTAGTGATGAAAAAATCTGTCGTATTTTCAACTGAGAAAAGAAATTTTTTTTTTTTCACGATAATACAGTTTGCTCAAATAGGTCACGAATTGCAAATTCGTAGGACATCCCCCCCCCTCTACAGTATTTAGGCATTGTGTAAACTTTTTGTGAAGATGGAGGAATGCAAAAATATATTCCGGGAATTCTTTAAGTTCCAGTTGGAACAACAGATGACAATATTAGAGCAACAACAAACATTCCAGATGCAGCTACAGGAGGAAACTTTCAATAGACAAATGCAATTCCAACAAAAAATGGAACAGATGCATAAGAAGCTTCAAAACAAAATTCTGGAAATAACTGAGAAGAGGAAAGAGAAAAATCTACAAAATGATTCTTTCCCAGAGAATACAATATGGAATTCAATTGAAATATTCACGTACAGTCCAGATGAAGAGATAACTTTTGAGGAGTATTATAAAAAATATATGGACAGGTATAACAAGGACTGCCACTTGTGGTCTGAAGGAAAGAAAGTTAGGCTTCTTTTAAGCAAATTAGGAACTGCTGAGCATAACAAATTGGTAAACTACATTTTACCGAAAAAACTAGCGAGTTGACATTTACTGAGGCGGTAAATATATTAAGTGAATTATTTAGTAAAAAGACATCTCCGTTTCACAAGAGGTGGAAATGTTTGAATCTGATGAAAGATGACGAACAAGATTATATAACGTACACAGCCAATGTGAATAAGCATTGTGAAGAATTCAAGCTGGCAGAGCTAAGCGCAGACAATTTTAAGTGCTTGGTGTTTGTTCAGGGGCTGGTATTGGAAAGAGACGCAGAGTTGAGAAAATTAGTACTGGCAAAATTGGAAAGCGATCCAAGTATTACGGTACAGAAATTGGCAGAAGACTGCACAAGATATGTTAGCGTAAAGAAAGATTCAAAAAAGATAGAACAGTCTGGTGTTTCGCATGTAAGGAAAATACACTACAAAAAAGAAAGTCAGTTTACCAAAAAGAATTCTAAAATTGCGGATTATCAAGCAAAAAGTGAAATACCAGAGAAAAATAAACAAAAACTCCCGAAACCATGTTTTGCCTGCGGTGAACTACACTGGTACAGATATTGTGATTGTAGGAATAAAAAAATGTTTCAACGGTAAAAGAGTGGGTCATAAAAGCATGCATTGCAGCTCAAAAAATAAAGACAATTAAAATAAAATTAAAGTTCGAGGTAAAAGATGGAATAACCAGAAAATTTGTTACCATCGAAATAAGTAATAAAAATATAAAAATGCAACTTGACACTGGCTCAGATCTATCTATCATAAATTTGCATACGTGGAAGAAGTTGGAGAAACCAACTTTAATGCAGACAAAGAAAATTGCGAGGTCAGTGACGGGAGAAAAAATACAATTTATTGGGGAATTTGTTACAAACATCACGTTAAATAAAAAACCGCAAAAAGCTAAACTATTTGTCATAGAAAATACCACAAACTTACTTGGTACGAATTGGATAACAGAATTTCAATTATGGGATCTACCGATAAGTTCCTTCTGTTACAAGGTAGAAAGTTTAAACACCGAAGCCCAAAAATTAGTAAAGAAACTTAAGGAAACATTTCCTACTGTTTTTTCTCCAGGGTTGGGAACGTGTACCAAGATGGAGGTAAAATTCCAGCTAAAAGAAAACGCTCAGGCGGTATTCAAAAAGAAAAGGAATGTGCCGTTTCCCTCATTTGAACAGATAGATAAAGAATTGGACAGATTAGAGAAAACCGGTGTACTTAAAAAAAAGTTGAGTATAGTGAATGGGCAACACTGACGGTATACGTGAAAAAAAGCCCCAGAAAGTTAAGATGAAGCCGACACCGAGAAAAACTGGGGAGCAAGTTACCCGCAGCCAAGGACATACGGTATTATTAAATGATTTAAGTCAACTGAAGTCACCACAGAAAACGTTAAGAAGCACAAGATCAACAAAAGGGAAGCTAGAGGCTGAACAAATAGAACCACAAGAAGAACCTACAGAAACTGTGACCCACATCCTTAAGAAGCTCAAAGGGGAAGGTTGTTTCTGGTAATACTATGGAGGTGCCAAAAAATAGAAAAGCGGATTGGCAATATGATGTACTTGGTGAAAGGTGAAAAATTCACGTGCTAAAGACACATTAACCAGATCAGACGACACGCTTCAGACATTGTTGACAGCGGTCCCATAGAAGAAACGCCTATGAAGGTGATTTTCGATACATTTGATCTAACAACGCCTGCAACGATTTTACCTGAGGTACACTAATCCAGGAGAAAAAGAAAGGCAACTGATCATTTAAAAGTGGATCCAAAACGTAGGAGATACGCTATGATGTTGCTAAAAAAATGAAGATTTTTTTTTTTGTTTTTTCTTCATATTTCCTGTAAAAAATAAAGAAAACTGTTTTACTCCTATGGAGTAAAGTTTTAGGAGTGGGGTGTTATGGTAAACACACCTATTCTATAGTTAATAGACTCTCCCACTTAATATAAGTAGGAATAGTAAGAGAAACGAGGGTCAGTCGATGTCGGACGACAGTAGTCGACAGTCGAATATGAAAGTAGTCAGCGACCACAACTAGATTACTCTGCGTAATACCTATTATATCAAGTTCCTAACGATTTGTACGTCGAACTGATTTAGTACAAATACAAGCCTCCACTGCAAAATATAATCCACAACACAGTCTAAACTTATCCTAATAGAATAGGCTTGATTTGGTTATTTTGAAGCCATTACTTATCTTCTACATTGTGCAACATTGACAATTTTCAAGTAATATCTTTAATGCTACAACCTCAACTGGTCTACTTAGCCATGCAACATTGTTTAGTAAGAAATCTCCAGCATGGAACTTTGCAAGTTGTTATTGACATGTTCAGTCATTAACAGCATCTGTCCATAAAACTGCACAAATCTTTCTTTTTGTGCATGTCTGAGTCACATTTTTACTATTCTCAACTAAAACTAAATGTGATAATATATTGAAAATTTTGTTTATCAATCAACGTTCGAATCAGCTTATAAAAATACTCCAATTTTGACACTGAAATAAAAATGATCTTTTTGAATGAGAGTTAAAATTAATAACACTAATTGCATAAAAATAACAGATACTTTGAAATCTACCCAACAGGTAAAACTTTCTAGTTTTATGATCAGATGAACTGTTAATTTGTAAAAAATTAGGATCTGTTTAATTAGTGTTATCAGTCTTTCAATATAAATGCTTCAACCCTTTAATTGATACATCGTTACCAATATTTTGCAGGTCAATTTTAACAGTACCCTGGGTAGAGTTAGGGGGCAAAGTATCTCTAACATGCCCAAAAAGTGGCTACAGTGCTAATATAGAGTTTCACACAAAGGTAGGACTGGTTATTTTTTTCTGAATATTTTTATTGAGAATCCACATTTTAATAACTATACTGTTCTCTGGTTTTTTTTTTTTTTTTGTTTTTTTTTGTTAAAATATTTTCTACCTTAAAAAAACTTGTACACATCTATTTTCACTGTAATTATTTTAAAATCTTATATATTCATTAAATTGAATATATACATAAAAACCATTTTATTTTAATTTTGCATTTTGTTTTTATAATATATTCCAAAATTATAATTTAAATACTAAGTTGATTTTAGATAAATTAATTTTAAGGGAAATAACTCAAATTTAACTTTTTCTCTAATTTTTAAAAATATTTACGAAACTTAACCTAGTATTGTACAAGATCAACTAGGGGTAGGAAAGTATTGTGCTAATCTTAGATAGTGTGTATTGTTAAAATTGTTCTATGGAGCCTTCCAAATTAATAAGGTAACCACCTCAAGAATACAGTCTGTTTTAAGTTATGCAGATCACATAAACTTCAATAACTCGAATTTACTTTGAAAAACAATCAATTTATACATAAAAATGAGTTAAATTTCTAGGTAATTTCAACTCGTTTGACTGAAATTATTTGTTTTATTTTAAAAACTTCTATCTGATGTTATAAAAACCAAGGATCACTTTTCACTAACAGGTGAATAAAACCATCAATACTTATAATAGAATAAATAACAAATACATATGATAATTCTTTGGAGAATTTACATATTAATAGAGTGAGCCTTCTCCTTAACCAGAGTCAGCAATCTATTAATCCATTAATTTTAATAAAATCAATGGATTAATAGATTGCTTCACTCTACTCAGTTTCTGACATGGTGGTTTTAATTGTTTCCTAAAGGTCAGCTTTGTTGTGTCATTTTCCAATTTTATATAATTTCATATTCACTATTGGCCATAGATGTGTGATTGGATTCAGATCAGGACTTGATAGTGGTCATTCTATTGTCTTGTCTCCTGTTCGCCTTTTAAAACTCCTGAAACTCACAGGTAACCTTAGATACACAAGAAAGAGCATTGTCATGCATAAATACACTTTACTTTGAAACTATAAGGTAGGTACTGGCATGAGATCACTGGAAAATGAGCATAGTATGATAATAACAGCCTTATACTTGATGAAAACAAAATTTTATTGTCAAAATATTTGTTACTATTAAGAGGAAAGAACAAAGTAATTTTTAATTATTTTTTAAAAAATTTCTGTCTTTATTAGAACATTCTAACTTTTGATTGAAAAACCTTGTTTCTCTTCATCAGTGGAACTACTAGTAAATAACATAGCGAATTTTTTGTGCATTTTTTATGACAGACATTAATTTTGAAAATATTACAAAAATAATTGTCAGATTTTAATGAAACTTTTCACAAATGATGGGAATTATTATAATATGTTATATATATATATATATATATATATATATATATATATATATATATATATATATAACCCCCTCATAACTAATTTTATGAAAACTCTTGAAATTCAAATGTGTACATTTTTAGTGATTAATTAGTTAAAAGCACAAGGCTTTGAGAGAAGTAAATTATGTTTTTACATTTTAAGTTGTTAAATATTTGTTTTTACATTTTTAAGTTGTTAAATATTCTAAAATTAATGAAAATGGTGTACAGTTCAGACAGTGCCCATAAAACGGCTGTAATTCAAATATATGGAAGACTGTAAGCATCATGAAAAGAGAAAAAAAATTGTATAATATTTCAAATGATAATATTTCAAATGATAAGGGTACCTACAAAGTATTATGTACCTATCTTATGAAATTTATATGGTCTTATTTTTATATTATCTCAGTTATAATAATTTTTCCATAAATGAAATATCAAAATTAATAAAATGAGTGGAAATACAAATGATACTGTAAAATGTAATTAATGTATATTAAATTATATTTTATGTACACTTAACTTTTCATAAGAAAGGTACCTAATTAATTTTATCTACCTTTCTTATGAAATTTTATCTCACTCTCAGCAATGTTAAAAATTTTCCTTAAAAATAACAAGGTAAATAAGTTGGTTCAATAAAAAGCTAAATTATATCACTTCTGTCCTTCCATACAATAACTTTTCCCTGCGTAAGCTGTCAATATTTGCTGAAAGCATCAATCATCACATAGTTACATGTCGCCACTGTTAAGACCGGCTGTCTCTTGTTTTTAAACTATATTTTTTCGGCACATAAAGTAAGAAATGTTTGTTTTAAAATATATTAAATAAACTTTAAAATTTCTAATTTTGTTAAAATAAATTTTTAAAAAGTATAATTGATTTTTGACAGAATTTTAAACAGAAAAATTAAATTTTGTTTACAAAATTGAAAAAAAAAATTGCTGACGATTGATTTTTCCAGACTAAAAAAAAACATGATTTTAAGCAATTTTGGACGTGCTAGGAATGATTGAAAAATGTAAAAAAATAATCATAAAATACTTTGATCTTTCCTCTTTATAATAACATAAACATTTAGACGCTAAAAGATTTTTATCATGCTATGCTCATTTTTCCAGCAACCTCATGCCAGTACTTATTATAAGACTAAGATTTTTGTCCATGAAATTACAATAGTTAGCAGTGTTCAGTTTCACTGCTTCATCAATTTTCAATGATCCAATAATGGTTTGGTTGACAATTCTATATTATCACACTGCCAACATCTTGCTGCCACAGGCAGATCTGCATCAGATAAAATCTCTATCCTTTAGTTTATCCATCAAGCATCACCCATCACCCAAGATCTTTCCATGAAAATTACTTTAGAAAGGTTAATTTTCATGTATTTCTTGGCCCAATTTTGATGCTTTAAAATGTTTGCTTTACAAAGACATTGTTGCATAAGAGATTCCTTGAGAGAGATTTCAGTTTCCAAAATATTTTATAACTGGAATGTAGAGAAACGCTATTTTCATATTTTTAACTGAAAAATAACGTCAGAGATTGTCACGTGTGGAGAATATTGTCATTATATCTGTGTTGATGTATTCAGCCATTTTCTTTCAATTTTATGAATCTGTTGTGCATATTTGTTTGTTTCTCTACATTCCAGTTGCTAGGTACATTCTGTTTTTGTTTTTATTAATTACTTTGTTCATTTAATTTCATTTTCGTATTTTGCTTTGATAAAGTCCACATTGAACGAAACGCGTCAGCAATTACCAGTTTTCCTATTGTCATTTTTATTCATAAATATTGTCTTCTCTACCGATTAAATCGGAGAAATTTTCATATATATATATATTTTCTGGAAAGTAAAGAAAAAATAGTATTAAGTTTCAGGCCTTAAACTAATATTTTAATCTGCATAATAACTTCAGAGAGTCCATTTTCATAAATTCCAAAGTATTTCAAGCAATATCCATTAAAAATTTAGTTAGTGATTTTTAGTAAGTGTGGAACTGGACTGGTTTAAATTTGACACAGATTGGTTCAGGTCTTTTTGAGTTATTGGAGTGTATGTGATTTGCATAATAATCTGGAATTTTCTGTCTCAATTTTCTACAGTCTTCCCTGGTATGAAGAACAATAAGCTATATGCTCAGCTCCAAGGGGACATACCCTTCAGGATGAACTTTTCCTATTGCACTAAGAGGGAAGGGTCAGAGCCAATATATGTAGCATCCTAAGTGCGAAATAATGCTGCACCAGTTTTGTTATTAATCCCACAAATGTGCATGTGATTTCAATTTTCAGCTCTGCTATTTGCCATATTCTGTTTGATGAACTGTTGATTTACTAACATTCCTTCTGAAAAGTATTATTTGCTTACTTACACTTTAACATGTATATAATCTTTTTTTAATAATATCACATGATATCATAATCTGATACCAAGTAAAATAGGAATCTTATGTACTGAGAAATAAAAAAATAAAAAAAAAGACTTTTTTTTTTTTTTTTTTTATATTTTCAACAAATTTAAGTTAGTCTGTTCTTTGGCATTTATTTTACCATAATCATCCTTTTAATGACTCCTGACTCTTTTTCTTAATGTTTCAGCCTTTCTATGGAGGCAAAAAGCATCGAATCACTGCTGAGATATTAGCACCAAATGAAAAGAAATCTTTTTGCAATATTGAGGGTGAATGGAATGGTGTGATGTATGCTAAATATAATACAGGTGTAAGTGTGGCTTTATTATTACCCAGTAGTTGAAGTTTTATGATTTGCTTTCAATATTTGATATGTCCACAAAAAAAAAAACTGATGTTTTTCTAACTAGTCAATGTAGAAAATAATTATCTGAAAATCCTTACATAACCAAAATTTTAATTCACTTATTGATAAATGCAAAAATTTATAGTTTTGTAGAAAAATCAGCCAAAACTTTAGAGAAAGTTTTATTGAATCCAAATTTGAAAAAAAAATGTCTGAATATATTGTTTTCAATTTGTAAGAACTGAAACATGGAATATTGAACTGATAATTTTCCAAATGTATCTTTCTATTTTACTAATTTTGTTTAAAAACATTAAAATATGGTAATAAAAGATTATTTACTGTTTTATTACTTATCTAGAACAATCTCCTTGCATTTATTTATTTTTTCTGTGTGCAGATGAATGAAGTGTTTGTAGATACTAAAAGAACACCAATCATAAAAAAACAAGTCCGTGAACTTAGTGAACAAGAAGATATGGAATCTAGAAAGTAAGTAGATTTTTTTTAAATGTTTGTCCAAATTCTATATTTTTCTATTTTTTTAACTTTCATTGTCTTTTAAGTGCTTTAATTCCTTCAAAAAGCTTCACAATGTCCAATTTTACCATGCTGATCAATGTTTTCACAAGAAAATTGGTGTTAACCAGCTGATATTGATAAATTGTTTAGAGTATGCTTATATTTATACAAAAAAAATTAAAAAAATAGAAAAGGGTATAAGATAAGGTTGTGTCTTCTCACCAGACTTATTCAACCAGCAAGACAATTCTGAGGGAATTACAAGTCCTACTGGGATTCATTATTAGCATCCATAATCTTAATAACATAAGATATGCCGGTGACACAGTGTTGATAGCAGATACAGAAAGGAAAATACAAGAAGTCCTATAGAAGGTAGTGAAAAAAAGCAAGAAGAAAGTACTACACATCAATTGCAAGACAACAGAATACATGGTTGCTAGCAAAAGGAAGAGCTCAACATGCAAATTACAAATTGGATATATCAATGTCAAACAATTACTACAATTTAAATATCTAGGAAGTGTTTTAACAGAGGACAGAAAATGTGACACTGAAATCTGAAGACATATTGGGACAGTGAAAGATGCCTTCTAAAAGCTAAGCAAAATAAGCAAAAGAAACAGAAAAACTTTGTTTCTAACAAAGTGAAGAGTACTGAACTGTTATGTAATATCAGTCGTCTTATATGACAGATGAGCAAAAGAAATGTGGTTCTACAGAAGAATGCTGAAAATAGCATGGACAGAAAATGTGACCAATGACAAAGTTTTAGAGAAATGGAAACACAAAGGACACTTATGCTTAACATCAGGAAGTAGAAGTTGAAATTTCTGGGCACATAAATGAGGAAAGAAGGCTTGGTAACCTTAGTGTTTTAACCATGAATCCCATGTTTGAATCTCTTCATAGTTGATTTGTCAAGGGATTGATTTCTTGATAATATGCTGATATTATCAAGAAATCATTCCCTTGACAAATCATGAAACATCATGAAAAATCATATCATGGATTGACCCAAGCCTTGTGAGTGAAATTTGGAAATTTTTGTTGGTTGTACTAGCATGAAATCATAAGTCATTGTGACTGAGAGGTTGAGTGTACTGGCCTTGTTCAACTATTGACCATGCCAGATTGTGAAGTCTTTCCCAGAAACTGTAACTAAAGTCTGCTCAATATAGTTCCAATATCAACTGTGGGTTAGCACTATCTGTTGAAGAAATACATGTGCCTGAACAAGCATCTGTAACAGGGATTACTTAGCTACCCTAGTAGATGTGCATACTTGGAAAATGAGTAAACAGCTATTACTTAATTTATTTCCAATGTGACAAACAACCCTTGAGTTATATAATAAAATCTAACACCACCAAATAAGTTGTAAATATTTCTAATAAAAAGAGATATCATAAGCTGAAATTCACATATTTATTATTTAAATATATCCTAGAAATTTTATTACCATTAGTTAGTTGCTAACTATTTTAATGTGAAAACGTTAACTTGCATAATAAAACCTGATACAGTATAATAATTCTAAATTTGCTGTATTCATTTTGCTTAATTTCTGCATTTTTCTTGGCTTGGGAAAATTAATTACTAATGTCTATTTTTTATAGAGTTTTTAATGAATAATTCAGACAAGTATAACCTTGGGTTTTATAAAGCTGGTAGTCAAATGTTCTCATTAGTTGAGCAGTGATAAATACTCATTAAAAGTGTTTTAGTTTTCTTCCATTCTGTTTCTGTTTGCAGAAAGTAACAAGTGAAATAGATCACTAAGCTTTTTCTTCTTCAGCTCTAGATTTTTAATTAAATGACTTGACAGAAACTTACCAGTGATATTAAAAAAATAATGGAGTAGTTTTGACTTGAAGTTATTCATATTCTCTTTCTGCTTTAATTCACTTATCTTATTTTCAACTTAAGTTATTTGAAAATAATGTTTTTAGCTTATCCTATAATTTTTAAAAAATATTTGTAATTTTCATTTGTTTTAGATTGTGGAGAGATGTAACTTATAATCTCAAAATCAGGCATATAGACAATGCAACAGAAGCCAAACGACAACTGGAACAGCAACAAAGAGACGAAGCTAAAGAACGGAAAGAAAAGAGCATCATGTGGGAAACAAAGGTTGATGCCAAAAATTGTCATTCTTAATTCCTTATGTCATTTCTTTCTGATATTACTTTATTTTTTTTTATACTAAGTAAATAAACTAATATTTGAAAATCTCTTTTTATATAATAATGATAATAATGAGGTTTTGGAATCAAAATTATTATACAGTGTTATTTTAATAGTCAGTTTTTACTTATGTGTTCTAGTTACTATTTTTAGTGTTTTTTTTTTTCAAAGTAACAGTTTATTTAAATTATTAGAAATGAGTGATTGATCAGTTCATCACTCTCACTTTTTTTTTAAATCTTAAAAAGAGAATTTTGCCCTTTGTCAGGTTTCATTATTTATAGATCTGTTGATGTTAAGAAAGTCATTCTGGTAACTAGAATGCAACATGTTTGTTTAGTTTGTCATAGTAATTAATTTTTCACCAAAACAAACCTGTAATCATTTTACTCTTGGTTTCTTAAAATGAAAATAAGATGAAAACTGTTAATAAAGACGCAAGCTGTTCCAATAAATTGATGTGTCGACGTTGTCAGACTTACCACAAATGCTTTAATGGCCTCTTTTGGAGGAGATGACTACTTGTAATTAGGTGTTACTTGAAACCTTGCCTATACGTTTTCTTTTCATATTCTTGCACTTGTAGGCAAGGGTAGATAAATCTAATATATATATTCACTGAAGTTACCTCCCTTACTGAAATTTGAAATTTTTCGAATTTGAATTACTGTGTTTTTTCCTAAATTATTAATTTAAGAAGTATATCTGGAATGAATCCGTTTGCATTAGAAGAATGAGATGAGTTTTTGAAATATTTTGCAATAGAAATTGTTTTTTAATAGTGAAATTTGTTCTCGAGGTCACTTCTAAATGTCAAGTTTTAAATGAGAACACTTGGAGCAATTTAATCAAATATTGCCTTTTATTTCTTGTTTTGGCACCTTTACTACAATTATGAAGTGGTTTGATTTAAAATGCTTTTCTAACTGTATAGGTCAGTTAATTTAGAAAAGCCTAATATCTTCAGTTAAATAGTTTTTGTTGGCCAACCACAGCAGGTGACTATCTTTTGAACAATCATTTATTTTCATTTGGTTGACACAATTCTGATGATATTCATATTGAATTATTGCTTTTAATCATTTGCCAAAAATATTTACATTTTTGTATTTCTCAAACACATTTTGAATTTGTGTTGGAATTCCTCATTTGTGATTTAATTTTATTGAAAATATTTTTTAAACCATTAAAATTTCTTCTGTATAAAAATGTTAAGCATCATTAAGCAGAATTTCTCTGATTTTACAAATGTAATTTCTTGTGGATATCATGACACTCTTATTATGATAATGTTTATTTTCTTTTTATGACATAGGCAAACTTTTAATCATAACTCTTAAAATACAATGCAATCATATAAAATTATATATTTTCTTCTATTAGATATGATATTTTTCTTTGCAGCATTTCCATGAAGTTGGTGAACATTGGGTATATGACAATCCCCTTATGAAACATGTATCAAACAAATCTACGACTAACATCACAAGCTCAACTGGATCTCAACATCAGTCATCTCCTTCAGCCATGCAACAACAGACTCCTACAAATCAGCCATTGCAATTTCAGTCAACTACCTGAATAGGATGATGGTTGAGTGTGATATCAAACCAGACCTCAACTGGAGGAGGAGTAGAGCCTTGTTAGGAGGGCATCTTCTACTGCTGCTGCTGCTGTCTTCTTCCACACATCTTGTTACAGTTCACTGCTTCTACAATGCAGCCAAGTAGTAGCCACACGTCCATTTTGTTGTTTTTGTTGTTAATTAACAACATATGTGAAAAGAAACAGTTGGGGTGGGGGTATATCTCATGATTGACAACACTTTTAAATGGGGAAATTGAAAGTGCATTCAGATTAAGGACTGCATGCTCACTGGCTAGAGCAGAAGGCTGTTGCTGCTGCTTTTTCTTTCACAGACATTTTAATGAGAGACCCCCTACAAAAGATTCATGAGAGGAAATAAACTGAAAATACCCAGAAAATATTGTTTTAATAATAGATGAATAGTAATTCTTATCTTGAGAAAAATGCTACTTGAAAAAAAAAGTTATTTTATTTAAATGTAGTATATACACCAAAAGAAATTTGTCTTCAGATTTGAAAGAAGAGAACAAAGAAAAATGTTTGTGTGTGTCAGTGTCAAAGAATATAATTGTATAAGAGTAATACATATGAAATACTGGCCTCCTATAAATTTGTAATAATAATAATAAAAAAAAAAAAAAAAAATCCAAACCCAACTTAGGTCACTGATTTGATTCTTATCTTGCACTTTCTAACTTAGACAAATTTTAATCTTTTCTCTTTAAAGGAATTTATTCTTTAATATTCTGATTCATTAAAAATATATCAATTTACAATTTATGCAAATAATTTTTTAAAAAAGTTTGGGTATAACTGGGACGTACATTTATTGTTATAGGAAAGTCTAATGGCACAACTTGTTGGGGAGAGCATGCATCTGTCTATTTGTGATTACAAACCCTTATATACAGATTCCTGCTGCTGTTGCTCTCTTAGGTTGTAAGGTTTTTAGTTGGATTGTAAACAGGAATGGAGGACACAAAGGGGAAAGGAAAACAACTGATCATCTCTGTTATTTAACCTTTTTCATTTGCATTTCCTTATTTACTTCCTTTCTTGGAATCTATTTTCTTGAAAGCCATTACATTTATTATTATTATTATTATTATTACTTTAGAGATTCGCTATTTAACACTTATTCCCAACAAATGTGGTACTTTGTGTTTTTAGGGATAACATTATTATTGCCATACAAATGTCATTATTACTACTTAGAATGTAAAGCTATTCTCCCTTACTGTATGAACACTGGTTTTTGTATATATCATGAGTACCCTATCTAACAATCAAAATCATTGCAGATTTTTCTTTGGTATATTTGTAATATCTACCAATTGCTATATATTGTGTCGGTGTTTGGTGTGTTTTATAATCACTCTAACACTATTCCAGAAAGATAAATTTTTATTGTTTTTCTCCTGGCTAGCTTTGATAGACTGATTTGGCCAATTCTATTTTCTACCTCAGACTATAAAAAGGAAAAAGGAGGAGATTAAGCCTTATAGGACCAATAAAAATAATGACAATTTCTTTTTGCTTCATTTTCTTTTCTTTCTCCATGCTTACATTTTGTAAAAAGTATCTCCAGGTCTTTAAACAGATGATTAGTTATTACTTAATAAATATTTTCTGTCAGTAAATTTTCTTTTTTTTTTTTTTCATAATTATTTTTCTAAGATAAGTTATTGAATAAATGAAGTTTCAACCATTTGATTTATACTGTCACCAGCTTTAGATGTAATATTGTCAACTCATTTGTTCCATTAGTTTCATTAATGCTTATATATAAACAATTCAGTTCTTGAAAATAAATATCGTACTTTGTATTTACCAGTAACAGAAGGATTTAGATCTAAAAATATTGGGAAGCTAAATTAATCTTCAGATTGCAAGTGTGCAATAAAATCGTAAACATTTCACAGTTTCAGTTTAAACTGTTAATTCCAATTTTCCTATTTTAAATTTAATTCTTCTGTAGTAGAGATGATTTTAATACATTTGTATATTTCATACAAACATTGGATATTTTTTTTATAGAACAGTATTATTCATCTATATCTTCTAACGTTTCCATTAAATTTGTAAGACATTAAGATTTTAATGATGAGATGACAAATTTATCTCCTTTTTAAAAACTTCTTTTCCTCATTTGGTAATTTTCATTTCATCTTCAGTTCTGTTAATAATTTGCTTTAAAATACAACATTAATGAAATCTTTAGAATGTTAGTGTTCTTTGTATTGGTGAACATATTTAAACTTTTAGGAACTTTTATAACATCCATTGAAACATTTTGCTTAGATTGAAATTTAGTTATTTTTACATTTTAAGTGAAATGTTTTAATTTTCACAGAGATAAAAAAAAAAACATTAAAAAGTTTTTTTAATTTCTTTTTATTTGGGTTAATAGGAAATAAATTATCTTTTTATAAGCATTGAATTTAATACCAAAATAATCCAAGAAATGAAATTTCAAAGTCTGAAATCTATCTTTGATAAATTTAATTTATTAATACAATTTTCTGAATACTAGACTCCTTTGTCAATTAACTTTTCTTGTGTTTACGTATTAAATGACTTTTATTAAGTTTTGATAGTATGACACGATGGATTTTTCTCAGACTAGAATTCTTGTGTATTTAAATAGAATTTCAAAGGTTAAATGACTATAATTAAATTTTGTGGAAAACAATCTAAATAAGAGATATTAAAGACTGGGGAAAGGCAAAATGCATTCAACCAAGAACAGTGACAATTGCTTATATTTCTACTACAATTTACCATTGAGATTGCAAAAGTTTATTCCAACAAAATTTAATTGTATCTATATAATTGATGCTTTTCAAAAGGAATAATTCTGAAATTAACTTCAGAGACATTTAAAAAGAATTCAAGCAAATTTAACCTTTTAAAAAATATTTCTTACTTTGTATGGTTTTGTGTTAATCTCTCTCATATATATATATATATATATATATATATATATATATATATCATATTTTCATTCAAGCCTGTTTTGTTAAATAATATTTACTGAAAATGTTAAAATAGTTTAGTCTTTTCAATTTTTTATTCTAGCATTAGTTTCTTTTTGTGATCAAAATTCTGTATTTTTTTGTTCATTTTATATCTGTAAGTGGTTAATTAAAAAAAAAAGATTTATATATACTTGTTATTTTAAGCAAATAAAAATACTTAGATAATTTTAGTTGAATTCAGAAAATTTTAGTTTTCCTTTAAAACTATCCGAATAATCTCCCTTGTGTAATGCATACGTATTAAAAGATTCTGAAAGTGGGTTTGAATTGCCTCCAATAGTTGCTTTTCCTTTTTATTTCTCTCCGTTTTTTTTTTTTTTTTTTTTCATTTGGCTTATATAAATGTTTAGATGTAAAATTTTTCTTTTTTTTAATTTGATTTTATTATATTTCTGTTGTATGAAGATACTATCATTTTTACTTCTCTCTCCATTTCTACTTCAAATATTTATCATTTTACATTCATTTAATGCTTCAGAAAATTTTTTTTCACTTCTCTAAATTTAGCTCCAAAGTTCTATTAATGCCACTTTTGATGGTTAAAATTCATTTGTTCTGGCAGTCATTGTTACAAAAGAAATGATTCTACATTATCAGCAACTAAAGTGTTTACTATATAAAGTGTCAAGCCCAGCAGACCTACCTCTATCCTTATCATGTTTTTTGCCAACGCATACACACATTTGGAAGAGAGAAAATAATTTTCAATGGAAAATGATGGATGTCAGATGAAACTATGCACCATTGAAGATTTTTAAAAAAGTTTGCAATTAATTTTTATCTTCATTGATATCTTAAAGTTTCAATTTTAGTTTATTAGATCCTTAATAATAGTATCAAACAAATTACTTGAAAATATCAGCTGTTAACTTTTTTATTTTATATCAGATATACGTTCTTTTATTTATTCTTCAAAAATCTGTTCTCTCATCCTTTTTGATAAGTAGTTTAATTAAGAAAATAATGTACATGTAAATGAAATTGTTGCTTTCTTTCATATGTATTTCAATATAAATTAATTTTAGAAACATTTAAAAATGATGGCAATATTGTTTATTGATTATGTATGTTTTCATTTTATTTTCTCTTGTTCAGTTTTGTAATATATAATATCCCTGATATGTTTATATATCTATATGGACATAAGAATAAAAAAAAACAACAATTAAAGTATATTGCAAAAACATTGACACTATGCTGACATCAAAACACTGTTTTTTTTCTAATGATAATTGAGGATACCTACCCTGCTTTGGAATAAAATAAGTTAGTTAAAATTACTTACATGTTAAGATAGATTTTATTTTTAAACATTAAAATTATTCATTAATCAGGCTGTTAATGGAGCAAGTAATCTTTTTATGCATCAATAGAAATATATCAAAAGTCCACAGTGTTAAGTGAATTGTGTGTATATGTAGACCCCCTTAAGGTAGTACTTAAAAATAGACAAAATAATATTTCTGGATAGTTTAAAAATATTTATAAAACATTCTAATATATCTTTTAATTTACAGATAGGCCGGTTGCAGGAGAGCCTATATGAAGTCAAGACAACATAGTTCAAAATAATATTGGTACAAAAGCAAAATTCTAAGTGTCTCTGGATATCTACTGAGATTATTATATATGTTTGGGGGAGAGACAGTGTTTTGTGTGTATGTATATATATATATATATATATATATATATATATATATATATATATATATATATACATACACACACACATACATACACACACAATAAAATCCAAAATCATCTCATGGGGGAATAAGCTTATTTCAATTGATGAAAAATAAAATTTGTCTGTCTTATTCAACCCCAGTATAGACTGAGTTTGTGTCAGAATTAGAAATTTAACTGGGAAAGCTTTTCTTTTTTCTTTTCTTTTTTTAAAAACTCATACAGAATTTATCCATTTCAATGTTTCACTCAGGCGAAAGGCACAAGACA